GGGCGCGCAGGGCGCGCAGCTCCCCGCCCAGCAGCTGCCCCAGCCGGCGCGGCTCGTCCGAGCGCTGCCGCAGCGCCGCCAGCTCCGCCGCCAGCGCGCGGTTCCGCTCCTCCAGCGCCCGCACCCGCTCAATGTACCCGGAGAAGCGCTCGTTGAGGCCCTGCAGCTGCTCCTTCTCGCTGCCCCGCGCCCGCCGCGGCTCCGCGCCGCGCTCCCGCACCGCCTCCGGCTCCGCGCCCGGGCGCACCCACCGGCCCGCCAGCATCTCCGGGCGCCGCGGGGCCTCCGCGAAGAGGTGGCGATAGGAGGCGGCCAGCGCCGAGGGCTCCGCGCTGTAGCTCATGGCGGCGGAGGGGGACCGGCGGCGGTGCCGGCGTTTATGTACGGCGGGGCGGAGCGCGGTGCGGAGGGGGCGCGGGGCGGAGCGCTCGGGCGGGGAGGGGGCGCGGTGCGGTGCGCGGTGCGGTGCGGTGCGCGGTGCGGTGCGGTGCGCGGTGCGGTGCGCGGTGCCGCCGCGGCAGGAGGCGACAGGAGCTGTCCGTGCGCGGCGGTGCTGAAGGGCTGTGGCAGCGGGCGGGGCACGGGGCGGGACGGACCGATAGACGGACGGATGGATGGATGTGGGGGGAGATGTGTGTGGGGAATAGACGGTCACACGGACGCAGAGGAGCATGCAAACACACACAGGCATATGGACGAGGTCACACAGACACAAAGAGACTGATGGATGCACAGGCATGTGAAAAAGCTCAGGTGCATTCACAGCAAGACAAACACATCCACATGCTCGGAGCCAGAGAGACAAAGGGGCAAGCAGCCGTTCAGAGACACACAGATGCACTGGCAAGGAGAGGCAGAAAGGAAGAGAAACAGAAGGAAGCAGGTAGAAATGGGCAGGTGGAGAGAGTCAGGCAGGCACCCGGAAAGACAAAAGACAGACAGACACACGTGTGCACACACATACACACAGCCATTGCTCTTGCTGGGGTATCCCCAGCTGTCCCCTCCAATGCTCAAGGGAAGCTGTGCTGTGCATCTGTGTCTGGGCTGGAGGTGTCCTGGGGGGGTTGGTGCCAGCCCCTCTTCTCTGATAAGGACCAGGGTGCCTATGTCTGTGTGGGATCTCCTTGGGATGGGAATAGGGACTGTTGGGGTGCAGAGCTGGGGGTATGCCTGGAGGAGGGTGTGACCAGGACAAAGACTGATAATGGTGAGTCCAGATATAACACAGGAGACACACAGGGAGGATTTTGCCTTCAGGTTGTTTGCCAGGAGCTGAAGCACTTCACTTTCTCGACTGTCCATGCAAGCAGGCTGGGCCCTCCCACTGGCTAGGGTTTGCTGGGAGCACCCAGGGCTGTATCACTGACAGGAAGAGGGGTACATGCGCACCCCACCTCCAGGCCAAGTGCACTGCCTGCACCCCAGTGCAGGACCTCCAAGCAATCAATGAGAAGTGACTGATTTCTGGGAGCAGCAGCACAAAATATAGCTGTGAGATGGAAAAACAACTTAATTGTGATCTAAGTGTGAGAAACATGGGTAAAATGAGCAAATATTTGGATCCTGTCCCCTGCTGTACTTATCTATGGCACAGAAATCTGCACTAATGTCCTGTTCCTCTACTCCACTTATCCCTGTTTGTCCTTACAGGTGACCAGAGGACAGCATGAGGGAGTTCCAGCAAATGAGCAGGGAGGACAAACAAGTCAGGGCTGGCATTGGAGAGAGCTGTGACTTCCAAAAGAGCTGTTGCTGTGGTTGAGCAATACCTTCAGTGCAGGTAGCTCGATGTGCAGTTGCATCATCCACTGCACATGAACAAGCAGTCCATGTTTTGATGGCAGAGCATTCCAGGCGGAGAGCCTTGGCACAGGTGGGGCTGCCAGCTATCCTCGCTCTGGCCTGGGCTGCCTGGCTCACACTGCTGGGGCAGAAATCCTTTTCTTGGTCTGTTTTTTTTCCCCAGGTATTTAATGTACTACTCACACACAAGTGCATTTTACCATTTCCTCAGTGTCTCCTACTCTGCACTACAATATCCTAAGTCAGGGTTTACTGCTGCGAGTAACTGATCACAGAAATGAGGAGTTTCCAGCTCTGCAGCTCTGCTTAGTTATGTATGTGGTATTGCTTTGATGATTTTGCTCTGATGCTTATTACTAATGATAGAGGCTTCTGTGGTTCTCTTTGTCATGGAAAAGTGGAGTGCAGCTTACCCTGGCTTCCTCACTCATGCTGTTGTAGCACTGCCATACATATGTACCCTAACAGCTGAGTTAGGAGAGCCACTGTCTCCTCCAGCACATGAACTACAAGGTAGCAGAAGTGCTGATTTCCATGAGGAAAGACCATGGGATAAAATCCCTTTGTCTCTGGGAAAGGGGTCAAGGTCTTCTGGCATCACTTACACACCCAGAAGGAGGCTGCATGAAACAGTTGAGACCTGTGCCAGTTACTGGTGAGAGTGCTGGAACCGTGTGGCTGAATGAGCACAAGGGATCAGGGTCACTAAGTTACAGTGAGCACTGCTGTCCTGCAGAACAAGGCTCTGACTCCAAGGCTGGAGAAAAGCTGAACACTGGCATGTCAGACCTGAAAAGACATGACAAGCTGGACAAGTGGGCACAAACTGAAAGCACAGCAGTGCCTGTGATATACTCATCATCAGGAAACCTTGGCACTTGAGTAACTGTTGCGCACAGACACATGGCATCAGGAGGAGCTTTATGAGGCTAGAAAACAAGCAGAAAACCAAAGAGAAGCAGTCCCATAGCTAAGAATTGTACACCAATGAAACAACAAAGGGTTGTGTTAGGGATTAAATTACCCAGGACCATTCTGTACCTCCTAGATACTTCAAAAATCAAGTCCTGCATGTGAGACAGCAGGAGGACTCCTTAAAGCTCTGTGCTACTCTCCACACAGCATCTGCCTGCTGACGAGGCTCATTAAACCACTTATCTCCCGAGCAATCTGCCTGGGCTCGTGAGTCACAGGGAAAAGCCGTACTCTGAGCTGTGCACACTCGGCAGTGGGACACACGCCTGCTGGCCAGCACAAACCATGAAACTGCAGCTCTGGGGAGCTGCTTCACCACCCAGCCTCCCCACTGCAGCTTCACGAGAGGAAAATGCTTGCCAGCAGTGGGAAAAAGGCAGATCCCAGTGTCTTCCAGGAGGCTACTGCCAGATGTCCTGTGGCACAGGTGGGTCTGGCCATGGAGAAGTGTAAATGGTAAACACACATGTAAGGAGGATGGATGCATTTGTTAATTGCCCACACATAGACACACTAACAAAAATAGGGAAATGGCTGTACTGGATCCCTCTAATGCAGGAGTTTGTTTCTCACAGTGGGAGATTCATGCTTCTTTGGTATAACTTCTCTGGTTCTGTCTGTCTGCAGTGCTGGGGCTCCCCAGACAGCAGTCACATCTCCTTTTACTGGCCCTTATCTAATCAGTGCAAGTTCATGTCCTGCATGCCATTGTGCTCTGTAATCCACAGTTTGATAATGCACTCTATGAAAAAACATCTTTTTTCATGTTTCAGAGTGGCTGCCAGCTAATTTCATTCCATGTCTCTGACTTGTGGGACACAGTGGAAGAGCTGGGATATGGTTTCTCCCCACCCAACTCCCTGTGCAGAATTTTGCAGACCTCTGCCTTACCCCACTTCACCTCTTTCCTAGGCTGAAAGGTTCTTGTCTATTTAATTTTTCTTCACAGAAAAGCCATTTCACATTTTTAGTCATCTTTGTTGGCTTCAGTGACTCTTCTGGGGTTCTGTGTTGGAAACACACACAGACAGACATTTCAGGAGGGGCCCTGCCATGAGGATGCATGGAAATGACAAATACAGGTGGCTGCATCTCCAAGCAAAAACTCTTGCTTGGGGGCCTGGTGCAGGGGCTGTGAGATGTCCCAGGGTATTGGGAAGTGCAGGATGAGCTTCCCTGGTGAGCAATGCCTCCTGCCATGGAAGGCTTGGCACCAAAAATGGACTTTGCTACAGCCAGAACTAATAGTTCTGGTGCTGTTGGGTGTTTCCCCTTGGAAGGGAATGGAGCAAGGCTGACAGAGCCTGGAGAGGAACAATGGGCCAAGTCAGCAAAACCCTGTCCAGCTGCATGTCCCTGTGCCAGAAGGTGGTGGCAGAGCCTTATCACCCAGGGCAGAGTGGAGGGCAATAGGGAAAGCTGAGGGAGTCCTTGGGGAGATAAAGGAGGCATCATGGCAGTGGGGAGAGAAGAGCTGCTGCCAGTGTGAGGCAGACATCCCCAGCCTCTGGCTACCACTGAGGCGTGGGAAAGGAGATTGAATGAGTGTTCCAGTGGCTTGGCACAGCAGTGTGGCCTGGATGAGGTGGGGTAGATGGATGGCTGCCATCACCCTTGTCTCTGGCAGGGATCAGCCTGAGGTGGCCAGAATCCCTTTTCCAGCCCTCCAGGGTCAGGAGAAACAGAAGAAAAGGCGAGGCTTGTTTTGCCTGGGAGGGTTGTTTCGCCCTGCGCTTTTTGTGGTGGTGCTCACCCAGCGTGGCAGAACTTGGGGGGCACCACAGGCAGATCCTGCTCTGCACAATGATCCCCTCAGCCTGCCCAACCTAGTGGCCGTGCCTGGAGGCGTGAGGGATGTAGTCTGTGCTCACAGTAGACAGGGATGGGACACGCCTGCTCGTTGCTGGGGGCACTGTCCCCCAAGCCCCCAGCCATCACTCTCTGCCAGCCCAGCTGCCTGGGGACCTCCTCACCACCCTCCTGGCAGCAGAGGGGGCACACAATGACCCCAGCCTTGTCCCAGCCCACACACCCAAAAGTATCAATGATTAATCACTTCATTTTAACCAAAGCTCTGGCTCTCTCACCCATTGTGGAGCTTAAAATAAATTAACATTGTGCAGCATAGGGAGCTGATGTCAAAGTAGAGTGACTACGTTTTTATTTGATACTGAAGCCTATGCTTCCTTAAGCTCCTAGTTCAAGGTACTGTAACTCAATGGCAAACTAACACAAAGCAGCCTCATAACGGGTTTTGAAAATGAACATTATGTGGTACAGCAACACAGAGGCTGGCTGACAAAACTGTGGGAGCTGAGGCAGGCCAGGGAGGTGCAGGCTGGGGGTGCACCCCCAGGGATTTTGTCTGGAGCGATGCCAGGCCTGGAGGAGGCTGCTGAGGAAGGGCTCTGTGGTTGTTCTGTGAGTTGCCACACTGAATCACAAATTAGGGTTGGGACACACCTCTGGAGATCTCCCAATCCAACTCCCCTGACAGGGCAGGGTCACCCGGACCATGTGACACCGGGATTTTGAATGTCCTCAGGGATAGAGGCTCCATAACCTCCTGGGCAGCCTGTTCAGGGCTCTGCCACCCTCAGCATGAAGTCAGAGAAGGGCTGGAGCACCTCTTATGAGGAAAGCCTGAGGCCTGCTCAGCCTCATAAGAGGCAA